GCAAAGGCCTGGTAAAGAGGAATATTTTTGTCTGGTGCCTAAAGATATGTAATGATGGTGCCAAATTCAGTTGACCCCATTTCATGTTGGCCTTGTAATCACATAAAGAATGAGACATGGCTTAATTTTGGAGGATTTAATTGAACAAACAATTTTATTGTATAAAATTAAAACATCTGTTATGTGAACTAATTCGCAACAGTGCCTGATCCTATAGGAGCATAAAAACTTATGCCTCAAATTTTGAGCAAGCTGAGGGGCAAAAACAAAATTAACTAGATTGATTTTGACAAGAGAAATATCCCAGCACAGAGGTTTTGAGACACTGTGTGGATGAATGGATCAGATTATGGGAAATATTCAGAGGTGCTTTTGGGGTTTGTTTGTTTTTTTAAATGAGGGTATGGATTCTGTCCATCTTAAATGCCTTTCCCCCATCTTGAGTTACTGTAGGTAAATGTATTTATCTTCTCATACTGGGAAATAAGGCCCTCTTCTTATTCACTAAGCTAACTGCATGTTTACGGAGCTGTAAGAAGATCTAGAATCAACTGAATGAACCAACCTCTTCCCAAGGGTTTGTTTTTGACTGACAAAGCTGAGCAGACATGTCTGCCCACTAAAATTAAATATCACTCAACTCCAGAGCTCGATCACACTTAGAGGCTGAATTTGTCTCTCCTACTCTTACATCACAGAAGGCATGCCAAATTTCTGCCTTCAGTAAACAGATGTCAAACGAAATAAAGACATGTAATGATGGTGCCAGGCGAGCCTCTCTGGGAAGAGTATTCCGCAGTAGGGGGGCCACCACAGTTAAGGCCCATACTTGAAAAACTAAGAGAGCCATTGGCAACTGGACTGAATTACCAAGGGCCCAAATACATATTTTCGGTGACCTCAGAAAATCAGCCTGTTCCTTGTTCCCAGACATGTACACAGAAGTCAAATTCTGAGCGTAAGCTACTTGGGCTAGACTTTTTCAAATTGCTAATGATGCATGTGGCAGAATGATAGGACTGGGGTACCTTGTTTGCCAAACTTAATCTGTTCCGGAAGTCCATTCGACTCCCAGAATGGTTCGAAAACCAAGGCGCGGCTTCCAATTGGCTGCAGGAGCTGCAGGAGCTTCCTGCACTCAGTCATAGAAGCCATGTTGGACGTTCAACTTCCAAAGAACGCTCGAAAACCGGAACACTTGCTTCCAGCTGAGCATTTGGGAGTCAAAACGTACAAACCAAGGCATTCGAGAACCAAGATACCACTGTAATGTATAAGTTTTTTTTTTAAAAAAAGGCTTGGGGCATCCTGGGCTAGGCTCTGTTCCTAATTGCTAGGTTTGCACGCTGCAGAATGATAGTACAGTGGTACTTTGGTTTAAGAACAGCTTAGTTTATGAACAACTTGGATTAAGAACACTGCAAACCCGGAAGTAGGTGTTTTGGTTTGTGAACTTTGTCTTGGAGGCACAACATGTTCCGCTTCCTGTTGAGTGTGTTCCATTTGTAAATTGAGTCTCCCACTGTATGGGAAAGCAAGCCTTGGTTTAAGAACGCTTTGGTTTAAGAACGGACTTCCAGAATGGATTAAGTTTGTAAACCAAGGTACCACTGTACTGCATAAGTTAAAAAAAAGGTGTCCTAGTTTTTACTTTTAGAAATATGGCACCCCTAATATCAATTTGTTATTGATAGCAATATGGGGGCAAACAATACTGGGAAGTCAAGTGATGAAGGAGATGAACCCATCTTCAGGGTGGGGGACAGGATGGGATGGGACTGAATCTCACATACTCTTAGACTTGACTCTACGTTTAAACCCAGACCTTCATTTTCTGCCAACTAAGAATGATCTCTGGGAAAACTTAGCTCTTGCTCAGGACTAAGCAGTGCTGCCTACTTATTATCTCTCAAGGAAGACAATCATAGTCGTACAATTCAGGGGGGAGAGGATTTAGCAATTTGGTCAGGCATGTTGCAACTGCAAATACGAAGAACACACTGAGGAATTATTTCCATCATTGTCAAAATTGCTGGCTTCCATCCTCTTACCTAGTAGATATACACATTCTGTTTGGATTAAAAAACAATAGCATCTTTTAAAAGGCATAACAACTTGCTAATGTTCAAAGGGATGTCTAGACACAGCCAGGGCTCTGCCAGTCTTTTGTATCTTCATTCTTCTTTTACATGTTTGGATATGATTCCATGCAGTCATCAATTTCAAGGAACATTCTTTTTGTGAAATGTGAACTTCCTTGACTAGGCATGTTTTAGCACATGGTTTAGCACATGGTTTAACTGAAACACTGCCTCACCACAATGTGCCTTATGTTCTCTTGGGTAACTGTCGTGGGTATAATTATTTTCTTTGCAAACCAAGGAATGGTGAGATTCTATAACTAAACTGCTACAGATGGTGATTTTTTAAAAAAAGTAATAATGTTATTATTTGTATCCCAGCAACCTCCAGCCATCCCTGGGAATAATGTGTGAAGAAAAAGAAAATTTGCTGGCTGGGGCTACGGACAGTTGAAGAACCATTTTTAACTAAAAGACCAAAGCTGTAGTGCATAGATTACCTAACAGCCCCCTATTCAAAGGATACCTTAGCCAAACTCATAACATCCGCATATAAAGCTATAGTGGAAACATGGGAATCTACATTGGGAGGGGAAGATTTCTGAGCAGGATCCTGCTGGTGCTGTTTCTGCTGTTACTTCTGCTTCACACTATATGTAAGGCACATTCTATTAACTGCAGCATTTATGATGATCCTCTTCCTATTGCTCACGAATTTTACCAGCCAGGAGACCTTGTAATTGGAGAGATGGTTTCCCAAGTCATATACTTGTCTAATAAACAGTCTTTCAGGGAACAGCCTTCACAGATACTGATTGATGAACCTATGTAAGGCATTATTTATTCCCCTTCTTACTGAGTCTAAAATAGTCAGACTGCAATGGTTGAAAATGCATCATTAAGCAGTACTGTGATTTATATTTTGATGTAGTTCTTTATGGAAACCCAGTAAAATTGTAAGGGTGGGGTTAAGCATTATTCAGTATTATGGAAGAGGTATGAGGTACTCAACCTCAGCATGACAAGATGAGGGGCAAGGGTGGATATGGGTAGACAGAGAGACAGAGACAGGAAGCCCCCAATTTACACGAGGGTCACGTTCCGGGAATCACGCTGAAAGCCAACGTTGTGTATGGCCAAAACAAATTGGGTTCAATGGCAGATGGGATTCCCAAAGTCTTTTTCCCAGACACCCAACCCCTTTGGATTCAATTCTTTTTCTTTTGTCAGACATGTAAAGCTGAATACAGATTGTGGGCTTACTGTATCTGTTTGTCTTATTACTGTAACTGTTTGTACACTAAATTTTCCTTTGCAATGCCCACTGAAATAAACAGTTCTGTGCTTCTTTCTGTTATTTAGTAAGTAAGAATTTCACATGGTGGATCATGCCTTGCCGCTGCCCCGCTATTTCTGTTCTGTCCACACTTCATTCCTTCTCAACCTTGAGGGATGTGAATGCATGTACATGTGTACCTTCAAGCTCTTTCTCTGTGGAACACAATTCCTGCTCTTTTCTGTCTCTCTCTTGCAGCGCATCACTTTCTCCCCATGCTTTTCCCTCAGATTGCTCCACTTCTGCCCTCTGAGTGCTCCATTTTCTGTTCAATTGCTCAGTTGAAGATCAGAGCCTGGAAACGTATTCAGAGCAAAGAGCTTTGCTCTTCGCATTCCATTATTCAGTTATACAGTGGTGCCTCGCAAGACGAAATTAATTCGTTCCGCAAGTCTCTTCGTCTTGCGGTTTTTTCGTCTTGCGATGCACGGTTTCCCATAGGAATGCATTGAAAATCAATTAATGCGTTCCTAGGGAAACCGCCTTCAGACCAGGTCCGGGGACAGTCTGTCCCCGGACCTCTTCTGAAGGCTGGGGGGGGGACAAGGGCTTTTCTTCCCACCCCCAGCATTTTAAAAAACCCTGGGACAGCGGAGGACTTCTCCGCTGTCCGGGCAATCTTAAAATGCTGGCGGGCGGCATTTTAAAATCGCCCCGGGACAGCGGAGGACTTCTCCGCTGTCCGGGGCGATTTAAAAGCCCCTGGGAAGGCAGGCAGGGGGACAAAGACTTTTGCCCCCGCCAGCCTTCAGAAGGTGTTCCCGCCCCCCGCCCCGCTTCGGAGCACCGTTCCGAAGCGGGGCGGTGGGGGAAGGTGTTCCCGCCCCCCCGCCCCGCTTCGGAGCACCGGGAGAAACGATCTCCCCGCAGCCGCTTGCTTCAAAAGGGGTCCGGGGGCAGCGGGAAGCGCTTCCCGCTGCCCCCGGACCTCTTTTGAAGCAAGGGGCGGTGGGAAGAAGCGATCTCCCCGCCGCCCCTTGCTTCAAAAGAGAAGACCCGCTGTCCCCGGGGCAAGCTTCGTTTTGCGAAGCAAGCCCATAGGGAAATTCGTCTTGCGAGGCAACTCAAAAACGAAAAAACCTTTCGTTTTGCGAGTTTTTCGTCTCGCGAGGCGTTCGTCTTGCGGGGTACCACTGTATGTACTTCTGCGAGGTATAACCACTCACAACATCTCATGGTGAAGTAAGCAGTCAGCAAGGGATGCGATCAGAGGCTCTGTGTCCTCAGGTGATGTTCTCTGTGGCTTTCTTGCACCTATGGGCACTGTGTTGGCATGGGCACACCTATTGATTTTCAACTACTAGTTTTTATTGGTACAAAGAGTAATTCCCTTAAATGCAGAGAGCATTTCTTCTTCTTCTTCTTCTTCTTCTTCTTCTTCTTCTTCTTCTTCTTCTTCTTCTTCTTCTTCTTCCATTCCATTCTATTTCATTCTGTTGTAATTTTATTACAGCTCCGTGCCAAAGAACTACCAGCACATCCTGGCCTTAGCATTTGCTGTCAAAGAAATCAATGAGAATCCTAAAGTCTTATCCAACATCTCTCTAGGGTTCCGTGTCCTCAATAGCTACTACACTGCAAGGATGACCTACAAGGCCACGCTCAACCTGCTCTCCACACAGCATAGATTTGTCCCCAACTTCAAGTGTCACAAGTGGAACAATCTGATAGCTCTCATTGGAGGATGCATCTCTGAAATCTCTGCCAATATGGCCACCATTTCAGCAACCCACAAGATTCCACAGGTAAATCGGGAGCATGGGTTTATGGGTCATACTATCTTGATTTGATAAACTTGTGACAAGGTTCCTGCAAAGTTTTATTGAAGAGGGCAGTTTGGATAGGAATTAACCAAGCAGTGCTGAGAGCCAATTGTACAGAAAACTCAAGTATCTGTAAATTGAAGTAGAATGGAATGATTGTGCCTAGGGCATAAAGGGTTTGAGGTTTTTATGGTTTCTTTCTTTTTCTTCTTTACTAGACCTACTACACAACTGAAAACACATAATGTAAGCAATGGCTGACAGAACTGTGCAACTTTAGTCCAGAGAGGAAGAGACTAAGGAAGTTAATGTAGTACTTTAAATGGCTGTTTAAATGGCTGTAATGGCTGTTACATAGAAGAAGGGAAATACTTCTTCTCTGCTGCTCTATAAGGCTGGACTACATATTTTAAAAACATTAGGAGAAACATTAAGAAATTATCAATAATGAAGCAGATTACTGGGTATTTTTCCACATTACTTGAAGTTTTCTTCTTTAAGAACCTATGCAGACATTTATTGGGAAAGCTATGTCTCTGAAGTACCTGTGAAATCTATAGTTTTGCAATCTCTCATAATCCATAAAAAAGCCCCTCATACACTCTATTTTAGCTCACATATGGATCCTTTTTGGCGATACAGGATGCAAACATGCTATTCCCATTTTTATACCAGATGGTCCCAAATGAAGCCAAACAACACATAGGAATAGTGCGATTACTTCAACATTTCAAATGGACATGGATTGTACTTTGTGCTGTGGATGATGACAAAGGGGACCAGTTTCTACAGACAATTTTACCACTACTCTTTGAGCATGGCATCTGCTATGATTTCATAGTAAGATTAGAAAAATGGAATTATCTGGATGAGATGATACGCTTGGCTTTACAGCACTGGGAAAGTTATGCAATTGCATTTGAGACAAAAGCTAATGTATCTGTGGTTTATGGGGAACCTCCATCCTTTCTGTTTTTGAGAGTATTATCCTTTATAGCACCTGTAATGGGATGGCCACCTCTGGGTAAAGTGTGGGTTGCTACATCTCACTGGGATTTTGCATCAGTGTCTATTCAGAAAGACTGGGAAATACAGATGTTCCATGGTACTCTATCCTTCACAGTCCACTCAAGTCAGCCATTAGGGTTCCAGAAGTTCATTCAGACGATAAGACCCTTCTGGCACAAAGAGGATGTATTCATCCAGGACGTCTGGGAACAGGCTTTCACCTGCTCCCTGAAAGCATCTAATGGACAGGAGGTGGAGGCTGAGCAGAAAGAACCCTGCTCTTTGGAGGAGAAACTGGAGAACCTCCCTGGGGTTTTGTATGAAAAACACATGACTGGTCACAGCTACAATGTCTACAAAGCTGTCTATGCTGTGGCACATGCTTTGAACTCCATATACAAATCCAGCTCCAAACATAGCCAATTGGCAAGAGGAGAGAGATTTGCCTTTCTGAATGTGCAACCATGGCAGGTAAAGACAACTCTGAACTTCTTTGCTTTGCCTTCAGCTGCCACTGATCTCCCGGATTTTTGCCTCACCAGTCCCAATGAGCTCCAGCCATGTCTGGTGGCAAGAGCCGCAGATATTAGCCTGCCTGACCTGGTGCACATTTACTCAGAGTCAACATCACTGTCATGCTAGCTTGCTAAATATCTGCAATAGGAACCCAACTACCGATCTGGTTTGCTAGACATTTTCAATCAATGTATCCCCTCTATAGACTGTTCTTTAGGTAATTAATTTCATGTTAATGATAATAATAGACAAGTGGAAATACTTCATCTCCATATATACTGTTTTAAGAGCCGTTAGTCATATCATTAATTCCATGTAAATATTTCAATATTCCAGGTCCATCCCTTTCTGAAGAGCCTTGTAGTCAACATCAGCACTGGAGATATGGTGCACTTTGATGAACATGGAGAACTGGTTGCAGGTTTTGATGTTACCAATTGGATCACTTTCCCCAATGGCTCACTGACTAGATTGAAAGTTGGACGACTGGAGCCTCAGGTTCCAGCAGGCAAAGAGTTAACCATCAATGATGAGCAAATTGTGTGGCATCCAAGTTTTAATCAGGTGAATTATAACTGCAAACTCTTGACTATATGAAAGGGGAATGTTCCCTTCTGGGTAGCTCACTATTCCGTCAGTTCTTGAGGTGCCTTATTGTAAATTTAATGCTTTATGATCCTTGACCTCATAAATTGATCTCAAACCTTAAATTAAAGCAAGGAATCCTTTTTGCCATCTCTGCCATTTAATTTCTTTGTGGAAAAATGTTGTCACATAAGCCTGTTAACAAAGCATTGGAAAGTAAAATATTTTATTTTGCTAAAATGTCACAGAATATCACGTAGTGATTTCTGGAAGGAAAAAAGATGGCCTTGCTTTTATCTTCAAGATATCTTTATCTTATTTCTACAACTTCATATTTTGGGGGGGTTGGAGATCGCATTGTCTTTCCTATGATCTGCTTTAAGGCTGAGTCTTAGACTGATCAAACCTAGAGATGAAGGTGGGAATCGCTAACAAATGGGCGACAGAGGAGCTGAGCCAACTGGTTCATCCTCAGTCTCTCTGCCCCTCACATGAGTCTAATCCCATGGAGGTGAAGGACTGAAAAGGGCTAATCTGTTGTTGCTCATCTGTATGATTTTGCACAGGCGCTGCCCCTTTCTGTGTGCAATGACAACTGCAACCCTGGCTTCAGTAGAAAAAAGAAGGAAGGAGAGAAGTTTTGCTGCTATGATTGTGCTCCATGTCCAGAAGGAATGATCTCTAGTCAGAAAGGTGGGAGGTAGGAATTCCCATGACCTAATTTATGGGATATATAGATAGAGATAGAGATAGAGATGATAGAGATAGAGATAGAGATAGAGATAGAGATAGAGATAGAGATAGAGATAGAGATAGAGATGATAGATAGATGATAGATTAGATAGATAGATAGATAGATAGATAGATAGATAGATAGATAGATAGATAGATAGATGATAGATAGATAGATAGATAGATAGATAGATAGATAGATAGATATAGATAGATAGATGATAGATAGATAGATATGTAGATAGATAGATAGATGATATAGATAGATAGGCTACTTATTATCTTTGGAGAAAGATGATGAATGCAGAGGAGTCTAAAACTAAAGGGATTTTCAGGAACAATTATCTTCTTGTTGAGTTGTTGTCATTTTTTTTTTTTAATGGTCAAAGTTATTGGGCTTTTATACGATTTTTAAAGGATCTTAAAACAACAACAACAACCTCCCTACTTGCCATACGTTCAGGTTTCTCCAGGCATTTTGACTATTCAGCAACAATCTGCCTGGACGCCATTTGGCAGCCCAATTCCCAGATGTGTCAGGGAAAACCCGGACGTATGGCAGTCCTACATTAGACCAATCACAATTTTGCTGCCTACACAACTCTTGGGACATTGTGAGGATAAAGTGGAGGGAACGAAGTATGCCACTTGTAATTCCTTGGATATAAATGTAATAACTCAATGTAGATGGATGAATGAATGAATGAATGAATGATTAGACACCTATCTGAGATGGGAAAATGAGTAAAGTGCCCCTCGGTTGCCAGCAATTTCCCAAGCAATGAGAAGGTCCTCTCTTGGTTCCAGCTAACTCTAAAGCCAGGGTGAGAAACCTTTTGAATCCTCAGGGCCTCATCCTGTTCTGTGCAACCTTCTAGGAGTACCGTATTTTTCGCCCTATAGGACACACTTTTTCCCCTCCAAAAATTAAGGGGAAATGTTTGTGCATCCTATGGAGCGAATGCAGGCTTTCGCTGAAGCCTGGAGAGCAAGAGGGGTCAGTGTGCACCGACCCCTCTCACTCTCCAGGCTTCAGGAAGCTCTCCGCAAGCCTTGGGAGCCCGCGGGAGTTTCCGTCGGGCTCCCTAGGCTTGCAGATAGCAGCCTGTATCTCGAAGCCCGGGGCGCGCAGCACAGCGCACCCCGGGCTTTGGTTCCCCAACCTGGTCTGGAGGTCGGGGGACAGCGGGGAGGCGCAGCGGGGAGGCGCAGCGCACCCAGGCTTAGCTTCGCGCAGCTCTCCGCAAGCCGGGCTCCCGCGGCTTGCGGAGAGCTGCCTGTTCTGGGGGCTGGGGTCGGGGAAAGCTCGGGCTTCCCCCGCCCCAGCCCCGCGCCTGGGGTGGAAATAATTTTTTTCCCCTTTATTTCCCCCCCCCGAAAAAAAACACTAGGTGCACCCTATGGGCCAGTGCGTCATATAGGGCGAAAAATACGGTAGTTGGTGGGTCCTGAGGCAGAAGTGGAGGGAGCAACTAAGGTGAGTTTGAACTTGTACCGTGGGCTACTTTCTATACAAACTTTCTATGAGAGTCACTTCTCCTGCATTTTGTCAATGAACTGCAAGGACACAAAAATAGACATCCTCAAACCTTCTTGTGGCTGATTGCTTTTGATTGGCATTACCTAGTGTAAAGGAGTGCTTAAATAGCTGTTTGTGTTTAGATAGATGCTGGTCAACATTCTGAAATACTTAAGCACTTCTTTCCTTTTTCAGACATAGACGCTTGTGTCAATTGTCCAGAGGACCAATATCCCAACATGGATCAAACTCAGTGTGTTCCCAGGATTGTGAGCTTCCTCTCTTACAAAGAAAATCTGGGGATCATCTTAGTGGTATTGGCTATTTCTCTCTCTCTCATCACAACTTTAGTACTTGGGATTTTCCTGAAGCACAAGGATACTCCCATAGTCAAAGCCAACAACCGGACCCTCACCTACATCCTTCTCATCTCCCTCCTCCTTTGCTTCCTGTGCTCCTTGCTTTTCATTGGACGGCCTGGAAGGCTGCTCTGTCTTCTCCGACAAATGGCTTTTGGTCTTGTTTTCTCTTTGGCCATTTCCACTGTGTTGGCAAAGACGGTCACTGTGGTTGTGGCATTTATGGCCACCAAACCAGGATCCAGCATAAGGAAATGGGTGGGGAAAGGCCTGACCAATTCTATTGTCCTCTTCTGCTGCTTCATCCAAGCTGCCATTTGTGCTCTTTGGTTAAGTACTTCTCCACCGTTTCCAGATAAGGACACACATTCAGTGATTGGGGAAATCATACTTGAATGTAACGAGGGTTCAGCTTCCATGTTTTACTCTGTCTTAGGCTACATGGGCTCCCTGGCCACCGCCAGCTTCATAGTAGCTTTCTTTTCCAGGAAACTCCCTGACAGTTTCAATGAGGCCAAATTTATCACTTTCAGCATGTTGGTGTTTTGCAGTGTTTGGTTGTCCTTTGTGCCAACCTACTTGAGCACCAAAGGGAAATACATGGTGGCTGTGGAGATCTTCTCCATCTTGGCCTCCAGTGCTGGATTATTGGGTTGCATCTTTTCCCCCAAATGCTACATTATTGTGCTTAGGCCTGAGCTGAACAACAGGGAACAAATGATAAGGAAGAAAAAATAAATTAAAATACAGATTAATCTCTTTCTTTGACTCTTACTCATATTTCATCAGATATGACAGTAATAGAAATGCCATTGGAATTGCGGTATGAGTGTTTGATGCATTCCCTCCCCAAATTCAGTTGACCCCGTCTCATGTTGGCCTTGTACTCACATAAAGAATGAGGCATGACTTCGTTTTTGAGGATTTATTTCAACAGCCAATTTTATTGTATAAGACTAAAATATCTTTTATGTGAACTAATTCCCAACCATTCCTGATCCTATATGAGCATAAAACCTATGCCTCAAATTTTGAGCAAGCTGAGGGGCAAAACCCAAATTAACTAGATTGACTGTGCCACGTGAATTATGATCATGTCTTCCCAGCACAGAGGTTTTGAGACACTGAGTGGTTTAATGGGTCAGATTATGGGAAATATTCAAAGGGGTGCTTTTGGTTTTGGGGTTTTTATTTAAATTTAGGGTATGGATTCTGTCCATTTTAAATGCCCTCCCCCATCTTGAGTTACTGTAGGTAAATGTATTTATCTTCTCATACTGAGAAATTAGATCCTCTTCTTGTTCACTAAGCTGATTGCATGTTTAAGGAGATGTAAGACGATCCAGATTATCACAAGGTTTCAACTGAATAAACCAACCTCTTTCCAGGGATTTGTTTTTCACTGAGGGGAGCAGACATGTCTGCCCACTGAAATGAAATCTCACTCAACTCCAGAGCTCGATCACACTTAGAGGCTGATTTTGTCTCTCTAAGTCTTACATCATAGAATCCATACCAAATTTCTGCCCTTAGTAAACAGATTCTGAAATCAAAATGGCATCAATTTCTCAACAGACTAATCCAATATATGTAAAGAAATGGTCCCTGTATCTTGCATTTTCCATTGATCTGGTTAGTGGAGAATGCATATGGGAGAAATTATATCAAACAGGTGTAAAAGGTGGGTGGCTGTACTTAATTATAAAGATGCAACAAGACTTCTGTAAAAGTTCATGTAGCACACTCTTTGGAATGGTCAAGTAGTACTCCAGCTTTTGGGTGTGGGTGACAAAAATGTTTTCAGGCTCTATTGTTTAATGTGAATGAAAACAATATTAGTATCACCTCATACTGTACATTTGTAGACCAGTATATCTGAGGGATAGACCAGTTTCACTCTTGCTGTATGGTGAAGAAGTAGTTCTTATGTCTTCCTCACAAGTGACTTGTGTGGTATAAGAGATTTTATATCTTGTCATTCATCCAGATGTTTAATGTTGGTAAAAAACAGAGTATGATTTCTAGAAAACATCAGTGACAGCATATGAATGGAATCAAATTGCCCAAATAAAGTTTGTTAAGGGAAGCCCTGTTCAGGGGAAGTTTTTAAGGTTTGATGTCACATTGTGTTTTAATTTGTTGAAAGCCGCCCACTTTTGAAACTGTTTTCGCAGCTCTTTGGACCATAATAAAGAATGTACAGTGGTGCCCCACAAGACGAATGCCTCGCAAGACGGAAAACCCGCTAGACGAAAGGGTTTTCCGTTTTTGAGCTGCTTCGCAAGACGATTTTCCCTATGGGCTTGCTTTGCAAGACGAAAACGTCTTGCGAGTGTTCTGATTTTTTTTCGCTCCCCCCCTTTTTCTAAGCCGCTAAGCCGCTAATAGCCTTTTAGCCGCTAAACCGCTAATAGCGCTAATCCGCTAAGCCGCTAATAGGGTTGCTTCGCAAGACGAAAAAACCGCTAGACGAAGAGACTCGTGGAACGGATTAATTTCGTCTTGCGAGGCACCACTGTATGCATGCACTAAGCATCTTTGTTGGAAGTATCTAAGAAAGTGTTGTGTCTTGAAAAAGTAAACCAAAAGTCCCCTTTGAATTAACTGGTCATTTATTTGACACTTTCCTTTTGTTTAACAATTCATTCTTCAAAGGTCTGGCAGATTTTTGCATGATACCTTATCAGGGCTGGCCCAGGTTGTTTTGCCACGTGAGGCAAAAGAGAAAATGCCACCCCCTGCCACCCCCTCTTCCTCTGTAGCCCCTGCCCCATTGTGAAGGTGGCAGGGTAGCCAAAGGAGGTGCAGCAGGTGGGTCTGGATGAAAGCCGGATCCAGTCCTCTTTATCTTAAGCTGAATTGACGTACATGGCGCCTTTCCATCACACAGAACAACATTTAGCTACTACAACCCAGAAACTCAAATGGGAACACGTGAACACAGAACAATTCAGTCTCACTAATGGGAGTGCTTTCCTTGTAGTAGTTAAAAGAATTTCCAAAAGACAATAAAGGCAGTCTGACTCTTTTAAATGACTGTCCAGGTAAAAATGAGTAAATTCCTAGAAATAGCCAGCTTTTCATTTCCCCCCTCAGATATGGATCCTTGTATCAAATGTCCCGAAGACCAGTATCCCAGCAAGGACCACAGTCAATGCATTCCCAAAGTTCTAAGCTTCCTCTCTTACACAGAAAACTTAGGGATTATCCTGGCTACTTTGGCCAATTCTTTCTCTTTCATCACAATTCTAGTGCTGGGAAGTTTTATGAAACGCAGGGACACACCCATAGTCAAGGCCAATAACCGGACCCTGACTTACATCCTCCTCGTTTCCCTTCCTCTCCGCTTTGCTCTTCATTGGACAGCCAGGAGAAGGGAACTGCCTTCTACACCAAATGGTCTTTGGCATCATCTTCTCTATGGCTCTTTCTTGTGTCTTAGCAAAGACCGTAACGGTGGTTCTGGCCTTCATGGCAACCAAACCAGGATCTGGGATGAGCAAATGGGTGGGGAAAAGACTGGCAAATTCAATTGTCCTCGTCTGCACCTTCATTCAAGCTGGCATTTGTATCCTGGAGAGCCAGTGTGGTGTAGTGGTTAAGAGCGGTAGATTCGTAATCTGGGGAACTGGGTTCATGTCTCCGCTCCTCCTCATGCAGATGCTGGGTGACCTTGGGTTGTCACACTTCTCTGAAGTCTCTCAGCCCCACTCACCTCACAGAGTGTTTGTTGTGGGGGAGAAAGGGTAAGGAGAATGTTAGCCGCTTTGAGACTCCTTCGGGTAGTGATAAAGCGGGATATCAAATCCAAACTTCTCCTCCTCCTCCTCCTCCTCCTCCTCTTCTTCTTCTTCTTCTTCTTCTTCTTCTTCTTCTTCTTCTTCTTCTGTGGTTAAGTACTTAGCCTCCATTCCCAGATTCAGACATGCACTCATTGAATGGGAAAATAATATTGGAATGTAATGAGGGTTCAGCAACCATGTTTTACTGTGTCTTGGGCTATATGGGCTCCCTGGCCATAATCAGCTTCATTGTGGCTTTTCTGGCCAGGAAATTACCTGACAGTTTCAATGAAGCCAAATTTATCACTTTCAGCATGTTGGTGTTTTGCAGTGTTTGGTTGTCCTTGGTTCCAACCTACCTGAGCACCAAAGGAAAATACATGGTGGTTGTGGAGATCTTCTCCATTTTATGCTCCAGTGCTGGATTACTGGGTTGCATCTTTTCTCCTAAATGCTACATAATTTTATTCAGGCCTGATCTGAACAGTAGAGAGCAAATAATGGCCAGAAAAGGTGAGAGGATGTAAGTTCATCTGTTTACTAAGCTCACTTAAAAATTCACTGGAAAGTCCACATCATGAGATTTTTAGTATTAGTGCTTTAATAGAGAGAGATCATTGCTCAAATGTAGCCTTCTTGTGAGTACAATTGTACTGGACAAACATTATCATAGGTCAATGCCCTGTTTTGATTTGGCTTACATAAATAAATGTAAACTTGACTTGGGATTTGTAGTTCATATTCAAGAACTGTTGTCGGGATCTTGGTCTCCATGTTGAGTTGTCTTCTCTACTTGGGCATGAGACTATATAACAGGGAGCAGCAAATAAGGAAAAAGAAAAGAGGATAACCACAATAAAACAATAGTTGCAAAATTCAGAAAAGATATCCTAGGAGCTTTGTATTGAATGATGACACTTCAGAGGCCAAAAACACGCTTGGGAAATTATAATCATTCCTATCATTGTCAAAATTACTGTTTTTTGTCTTGTGACACAATTGACATCCAGAGCCTGTAAGAAAAATCAACAACAAGAATACTGAAAAACCTATATAATTCCTGTGTTATTCAAAACTGCATCTAGGGATATGTAGGGTATCTTCATTCTTCTGCATAACCACTTTTCCACTGATTTTTAACAAATAGAGTATGCTGTGAGTATCCTGGTTCCTCATATATTCTCCTGCTGGCCCTGTTTATTTTCTGCTTCCCAGATTCTTACTGTGGAAGACTGAACCTTATTGACCAGTATAGAATAGCACACATGTCCTTTAATTTGCATACCCATCTTTTGCGGAAACAAGCTGAGAATTCACAAGTTTGCATTTGGATTCCTTTGCTCACCACAGCAAAAATACTGACACCTGACCTGTAGACACGCATATTAAGTTGTTTAGAAATAAATTTTAAAAAGTCGCTCATCCTTAGAGGATAAAGTGGGGAGATAAAGAAAATACACTGTTTAGGGAAATTAACGATTGAAGGAAAGCATTGCTTCTGCACATAACTGTGGCATGATGGGAAGTCTTGCTTCTAAGCTTTGTTTTGCTCACGCTGCACAAACCGTGCTGATGCTAAGACATTCCATCATCACCCTGGTACGTCCTGTTCACCTTGAGTTCACACCATATCAATCTGTACTTACCCCTCCTTGTACATTCCTTTTCGTACCACTCTGGTACGGGCAGTCCGAAACCATGCCTGTGTAAACTCCGCGTTCCTTTTCCCAACCTTTAACCTGTCTATGATTAATGTCTTATATGCAACCCTTGCTTTGTACTTATGTTAACCAATCAGCAACAAGCACACACGTGGCAAACACTGTATAATATCCAATAAAAGGGAGTCTCCGAGGCTTGCTCGAGAGACGCCTCCCGTATGACACCTATCTGCTCATCTGTCATTCATTTTCAACCCAACAAACGATGGACAAGGAGGTGAAATGAAATAAAGCA